ACCAGGATTTAATGCACTTGTCGGGGGGGGGGGGGGGTTAGGTGTTTGTCCAATGGCATCTAGAACCCAGTGACAATGCAGGCTACACGTGCAAATCTAGGTATGTGCACGGCTGCTTGCTCGGGCACGTGCACACACGCCTGCCTGCGTGCTGGCAGATGCTGGAGAAAACAGGGTCTGGAGCAGATGATTCTGTGCTGGGTAACATAGCAGTGGAAAAAGTTGACAGAGGGAGCATGACTCCAGGAGCTATTTGTTCAATCAATGATTTACCAGATGTGTACACTGTACTAAAGGCTTGTAAACATACTTTAATGGCCAGCTGTAAATCCAGGCAGTAGCAGTGCCAGCTTCATCTCCATCGGACGTGTTTTAGGAACAGCAGTGTAAGGGCTCTGAATCACTTTGTTATAGGCTCTGTCAGCTCTGCAATTGTGGATGTAAATCAAAGAACCAATGTCCTTAGGTCAAAATTATTTGAATGTCAGGAAAGGTTTTATGACCAGCAGCTTTTCCTTCTCTGGGTTCCCTGCAGTTTCTTGTCTTCCACAAATGGCATCTCCAGAACATTGGGTTTCCGTCCCAGTGCCCCAAGTGCGTGGCTGTGTTTTCACTGACTATGTTGGAAGTCTCTTTTGTTAATCACTGAAGCAAAGCGTCATTAGTGAGAAGTGCAGAGTGTACACAAAGAGGAACTTGCCAAATTACTAATAAGCAGAAACTCCATCCATCTTAATGAGACAGGGTTAAGAAAATAGCAACCTAGAATATACACAATGGAGCCTTTCCACGCTGTTTATTTATCCGTGTTAGAAAGTAGTTCAGAACTCCATCTCTGGTGCTGCTCGGAGATTGTCGCATGGTTTCCAAACCACAGGCTGCTTACGCTCTTGCAAATCATTAAGCATGAGAAAGATAAATAAATAAGTGGACAGATATTAGCGGGAAGATAAATTTCTGGCCTCCAGACAAATGAAACAACACCACGACAAAATGCTGGTTCCAGGCTCTCTTCACTGCTGGGCAAGTCAAGTTTGCACCAGGCAGCAAATGAAGAGAGTGCAGTGCTCGTGGCAGGGCTAGAAATCGTCCCTGCAGGTTGGGGAAGGGATGCTGCGCACAGCTGGTCGCGTGGTGCCGCACGGGCAGCGCCTGGCATGGGCGGCTGGCACTCCTGGGGTGCTGCTGCATCGCCGGCTCCAGGCTTGCGCTCTGGACACCTGCACCAGAGCCATCTGCACTTCGGTACGCAGCACAGAGGAGGGCTGGTAAGAAGCAGAGACTTGGGGACAGTCAGGGAAAAATTACGAACCCATTTATTTTCTAGTTTTTCCTATGGTGGGTCCAAAGAAGAACTCCCAGAAACCCCAGCCAACAGCCTGGCTTTCCTTCGAGGCTGAGAGATGCAGTGAGCTCTCAGGACCCCTCCCGATAATTCATATACTCACACGGTGACTGATGGGGGTCCCTGTTAAGGAGCCTGTGGTCCCCTTGGGGTTTGGTCTGCCAGGTCTGCAGGACCAAAGGAAAAGCCGTGATGGGCTGGTCCCTCTGCGATTCCTGCTGATGTTGCAGGATTCAGCCACTGGAGAGGAGCCCTCCGTGTGCAGCATTGCGGGGAGCTGCTGCCCAACTGCCGTGTGCAGAGCAGATCTCAGTGATCTCCGGTGATTTTGGGGTGCGGTAGGTTGGTTCCTTGGAGAGAGGACTGCCACAGAGCGAGAAGTGTTGAGGAGACGTTTCCTTGTGGCGGGCCGGTCTCCAGCTCCCTTCCTTTGGGGTCCTCACCAAAGCAGCCAAGGTTCCCTGTGTGCTCAGTCACCGCGGGGCCGCTCCTGGGCTGAGGCCCCCATCACATCGGCCCGGTGGTGTGATTTATAGCTCCCCGGTGACTTGCAGCACTTCCCCAGGTTACTCTGGCAACACAGAAGGGGTTTGCACCCACACCGAGGTGCCTGCACACCTGTGCTCCCCAGCCACATTTTTCTTTTGTTGGGTAAGAAATGACTTGCAGAGCATTTCACGCAAGCAGCTCAGCTGCTGGCTACTTTATTGAACGCCAGCGCTCGCTGTGTGTTATTCAGACAAACTTTATATATGCTGCAGACCCTCTCAGCAGCCTGCACCTGGTCCAGGGCAAAGCGGAGCCTCATAAGGAAGAATGTGCTGTAATGCAGCAAGTTATTACAGGATAAATATTTATAAGCCCCTGTAAATATTTGCCATCAGTTCCCTCCTGGGACTAGGGGCAGACGGTCAGAGTTTCAGCAGTGCTGAAGGCATTAGCTGTTGTAGTTCTTTATATGTTATCTCAGCTAGTAAACCCTTTGTTGATTGTGTTTAGTTATAGCGTTTAATGGTGCTAATTTCACCCTAACAGGACACATCGGCTGGAATTGTTGCATGCCTTGATCCTGGCCCTGCTGCGGGCTGGCTCTCGGTTTAAGCATCCTTTGCAGCCGAGGTGGTGCCGGGCACCAGGCTGGGGGTGGCAGAGCGGGTCGCCACAGCTGCAAAACTTCCCCCTGCAGATTCCCGTGTCGCAGGGCGAGGGAACGCTCCTGGCTGCATCCGTGTTATTGGAACCTCGGAGCTATCCGCTGAGAAAACCAGAAAGCAAACACGGCAAAACTAACATCCTCCTCAGCAGGCTGACCCCGGCAGGGGCTATCAGCTCTTCAGCTGGCTGAGGGGGTGTCTAATCTAAAGCAAATATTCCCTGGGGGGTTTCCAGGAGCTGTTCTGCTCCCGCGCGCCACCGCAGGGGTGGCACGGTGGGCTCCCCGTGCGGGGACGTGGGGGTGGGCTGCCGCCACTGGCACTTTCCATCCCCTCCTCGGTGGGGGCACGGGCACCAAGGGGTAGCGGGAGCCCTGGTGGTGGTTTTCGTGTCACCCCGCTTGGGGCAGGGACAGCGGATGCCTCATCGCCGGTCTCGTCGCCCCCATCACGACTGCCTCTGTTGGGGCTGAGATGGGGCTAGCACAGCGGTGGGAAACCGGGGAAGAAATGCCAGGGCAGGCAAGGCCATGACTCCTCCATGCCCTCAAACGCAGCAGTAAAACAATGGGCCCTGGGCAATAGCGCTTGCCCGATTGTTGCGTGGGACTATTTGGGGGCTCCACTTTGCTGCTCATGCACGAAAGCCAGTCATTTGGCAAAAATCAGCTCAGTTAGCAGGCATTGTTCGTAAAGAGCCTGGGGCTGAATGGGCTCAGGGCTAATATATTCTATTATCCCACGCCTGCCTGTTTCCCCGGGGCGGCGTGGAGGGAAACGCACATTCCAGCGCTGGGTGGCGGGGGCAGAGCGTGCCCTGCCGGCCCCGTGGCACTGCCTGGCGGGCAATGCGGACGAAGGGGCAGGAGGGCACGGCTGCGGACAGGCGAGGTGGGTGTCGATGGCTTGGGGACATGTCCGCCTCGAGCCGTCCCTTCGATGCCGAGTGCCCGCCGTGGGTGGATGTGGAAGAGAGCAGCCGCAGCGAGCAGAGGGAGTGGCGGTGGGGGGCAGAGCCCGTGGTCCCGCAGGCTGTGGGGACGAACAATGGAGCCAGAAATAAGCACGGTTAATTGGGCTGGGCTTTTGAAAGGGTAGGAGAGGACTGGGGATAGCCGAAATTGTGCATGTTGCAAAGCATCTCATTATTCAATAAGAATATGTTAGCCCCTGTGGGAGAGGCAGCAATAAATGGCTATAAAGCAAAGTTAAATGATGACATTAGAGACTATGCAGAGATTTAAGAAGCAGTGGGCTACATAATTATGAACGGAAATGGCTGCACAGGCTTCACTCAGAAAAGTTAATGCCCAATTTGGAAGGGGTTTGTTGGAAGAGCAGCCCTTCTTGGGCAGCTGCTATTTAAGAGGTCTTACACTGTATATTAAGCAATTTAGTGGTCTAGACCAGAGCTGTTGGCTATTTTCTTTTTTTTTTTTCCTTCTCTTTTTTTTTTAAGGAAAAATGATCTTCTGGGCAATCGTATTTCAGTTTACAATTCACTCTTGGATTCCCATACAGGCACTGCTGCTGTGAATGTGGGTATCAGATACAGCAGAGAAAAAGGAGCCAGCAATGATCTTCCCTGGGCTGAGTTCAAGAACTGTCCAGGCTTTGAGTGTGGATGGATTTAGCAGCCAAGGCATGCCGTCTTGTAGCTTTCCCGCTTGGATCAAGAGTGCTGAACCGTGGCGGGCAGCCCTTTGAGCTCAGCGACTAACTGTACGGTGTGTCAGGGTTGCAGCCAGCCCAGTAATCAGGGCAGGATGCTCCACGTACGTGGTGGCACACATCTCTGGAGTGACCATGACAGGACATTCACCTTGCTCCATGTGGTATTTGCTGAGCTGGGGATAACCAGAATCCTGACTGCAGTTTTACCGCAGTGTTACTGCTGTTGCCTTTGGAGAGCTCCCCAAGAACTTCTTAAGTAAGTCCTCTTCGTGCCTGCCTACCTACGATGTTTCTGCCACACTACTCAGCCTGGACTAGAAGGATTATAGCACTGCCAAGTAAAACACGCCCACTGCCGCTCTGAAAATGGAGAGGCGCAGGGACTTTCTTATGATCTTGCAATCAAAAATGGAGAGTTACTTGCACATTTTGGTTCTGAGTGCTCCAGATGAGCAGGGGTCACGTTCCAGACGAGAGACTCATACCTGAGGATGTAACACTTGGGTGCAAATAAAGGTTCTTGAGAGATTCTTGAGCAGATCAGCGCCCTGTTCTGCGTACCACATTATACCACACTACTGGGACACTGCAGTATTTTCTACATTCTCAAAACGAGATGTTTCAGTGTTTCTAAACTGAGTTTGGTAAAAGCAAATTCTAGGCTGTCAGAATTTCCCAAGGGATGAGAAGTCCATTTTGCAGCTGTTTCTTGGTGCAAACAGTGATCAGGGCTTTCCTACTGTTTCCCGAGCCCAAGCAGCAGGAGAGGGCCTGCTCCATCCAATTGCCTCTTTCATTCAGCTACTGGCACCTTATGGCGAAGATTTCTCTTGTTTACTGCTGAATTCTCCACTTCATTAGCGGTGCTAACTGGCTTCTCTCTTCTGTTGGCCCTCAGGTGAAAGTGGCTCCTTCACGCTTCCAGGCTGCAGAGCCTCTTCCATTTACCTCTCAATGAGGTGTAGTTCCTGTATTAAACAGCACAAGCTGTTGAAGCAAAAGGCAGCTGCAGTAACCGCTTTGTACGGGTCCGAAGGAGGGAGCTCAGGAGAGCTCCCTCGGACGTGGATGCGTGGGTGCTCGACGGCCAGATCTTGTGCGCGTGGAGGCTGAGACAGCCCCTTCTGCCTGGCTTGTGCCGAGGGGCACCCTGCTCTGCCCACGGAGCAGCCGCAGAGCCTGCACGCCTGCGCTGGCACCCCGGGTAGGTTCACAGCCGCCATCCTCAACGCGTCCAGCTCCCGGCTTCGGAGGGCAGCAAGTCTTTGCAGGCCCTCGGGAGCGCAGCAGCCTGTGCCTGCCCGCCGTGGTGAACAGGGCTGGCCTGTGTTCCCGTCCTGTCTCCTCAGCCGAGCCGTGCCGTGCCAAGAGTCTGCCGCTCGTCTCCGTGCAGGATGCGTGGCTGTGGCTGCAAGCTGTCGGGCTTGACACGCTGCTGGTCTGCTTGACATATGCCCTTTTCTTGCAAAGGGTGCTTGGTGAGGGGCTGGCACTGGTGCGGGGGGAACAGTGGATGCTGCTGTTGCACAGCTTCTGCTTCCCTGGCAGGACTGGAGCCAGGTTTCCCAGGCGCGATACCTCTTTAAGAAACAGACCGACTCTTTCTCTCTCCTGGTTGTGTTGTTTTTTTTTTTTTTTTTTGCAAATACCTTAGTTTTTGTTGGAATTTGTCCACGGGGAAATGAGGGCTGCACGGTCCAGTCCAGGTTCTCAGAGACATCTGCAACCTTGGAAAAACCGCTCAGGGACGCTTGGGCCTCCCAGAGCTGCCCTGGCCCCGGTGCCCGGTGTGCCAGGCGGGCGATGGGCTCCCTGGCACGACCCCGCACGGCTCGACCCTTCCTCGAGGGAAGCGGCCGCGGG